GCTTTATCTAAAACTTTTGTTCCTGAAACTATTAGCAAAAAGAACTGAAATGAGAGAGGACTGCAAATATCTATCTGAATTTCCCTGCTTCCAAACGTGGAAATGTTTTAAGGTGTAAAATTTCATTGTAAACCTGCAAATTTTCAGTCTCCAAGGAATTAAAGCTGAAACTGATTTGGTTCCCTAATTATTAATGAGCTAATTAGTTTTACTGCTGGGTAATCAGTGTCCTTTAATTTTGCTGGCAGTTGTAGGGGAGTATTAGGTTAAAGAACTTGCTTCTCATGCCATTTCAAGTCCCTATAATTTAAAAAATGCACATCCAAAGATTCATCTCTAGAGGCAAAAACATTACTTCAGTAGGGGGTTGCTGTAGGTTCAAGTCAGTGAAGAATTTAGTACACAGTGTCCAGTAGAACACAGTATTGCCAAGGAGAGGACTGAGGTGCCCAGATGACTGAATTGTAGCCAATAAACTAGTAAATTGTTTGAGACTTAACCAAGAAAGTATGTTGGCCTTCAGACCCAAATAATATTAGCTTGTGAGCCGCTGAGTAGTGTTCAGCTAATTATGGTGTTTTCTTGTGCAAGAAGGGCCTCTGCTGTGGCTCCCATAATCTATGATGGTCACTGACATTGGCCCATCTAAGGCAGGCATAGCTCATAAAAAAGGACTTTGCCTAGTAGAAATGGGCCTTCTCCAGTTTAGCTTCAAAATAAATACCAAATTAAAACCTTCTTAACATCTGTTTTTAGAATATAAAAGCTGAACATAAAATGAAATTTGAAGACTTAGAAGTTAACACTACTTTTACACTATTCACTGTGACATTTCCTTTGCAGCAAATTTGTGTTTTTTTGTGTTGTTTTCTGAAGGTGAAGCATCAGAAACCCCAGTGCTCTTTGCACATGCTCTAAAACCACCAGGGGCTTCATGCAAAACATTAAAACAGGCAACCTAGGGGAAAAAAAAGATTGCTGAGCAAATAAGTTGCAAGACCTGGGTTCTCATTAACAGTCACTGATTCCACACAGTGGTTTCAGCAACTGAAAATCTAACAACTTAAGACAGCTTAAAACGGAACAACTTCCCTCTTTACAAATCTACCCGATGGTGAGCTTTGGTGCTAGAAACTATAGGGCCAAGTTCTGTTCTTTGACATTAGTGGAGCTTACGAGTCTAACCAAGATGACAGTTTGGTCGACTAATACACAGTAGTGTAGTTAGAGAGCAATTTTTAAAATATATTTAAGAGGAATTGTTCAAGACAGCCCAGATATAAAATTAAGAATAGAGATATTCCAATTTTATTCGTAATCAAAATACTTAATTAAAAAAAAAATTGTGTGATATGTACTCAGAGTTGTTGGTTGTAGCCGTGTTGGACATAGGCAGGCTTTGGGTAGATGTGATATATTTTATTAGACGAACTAAATAGTTGGAGAAAAGTTCTTTGCAAGGTTTTGGGCACAAACACCCTTCCTCGGGCATAGGGAGACTCTAGTCTGCATTTGTCTGTAAAACCTGAACTGTTAGGTGGGGGTTGGTTATTAGGCATTGCTACTCGTTTTGGTTTTTTTATTTCTTTACAGTAATGCTTATATGTTGAGAGCTCTGTATCTTTTAACAAATTGACTGGGGTGGATATGAGAGATTGAAACTTGCCAGGGCTAAGAATTGCATGTATTATGTAGCACTGTTTTCACAATATAAGCAATATGGTGGTCAGAAAGTAACCTCAAGACTGCATGAAAGATGTTGCATACTATAAGTTAAAGCAAATTCTGCTATTTCCTGTGTATTTTATATCATTTACTTCCAAAAAAGGACAAACAACTGGTCTAACATCTCTTGTTACATTGATGTATATAAATGTGATTAATTGCTAATTGTGCTAACCTGAAGTGCAACATAAGGCATGTATAGAAATTACCACAGATACACTTCCTCAAGTAAGGCAGAACATACAACTCCATTCATTGGTGCGTAAAAGGAATTGGAGATAATGGCAGGAGATTTGTGTTCCTTTTTTAATGTCAGCTTGGACTTGCTGAGAAGTGATTGTACATAGTTTTCAAATACAGGTGAGCAGTGATTTCTGAAATAAATTAACACTGAAGTGCATTATTTAAAAAAACTGCAGAAAAAAACTGCAGAAACTTCCTCAGCCTGACGAAAGGTTTTTAAACCCAAAAGCTTGCTTAAAATGTTTTTTTTTTCCAACTATTTAAGTTGGTCTAATAAAAGATATCAGATTCACCCAAAGAACCATGTCTGCTTATTTAAAAAAAATATTTCTCTTTTCATAATAAACAGTGCAAAGAACACTTTAAAAATACTGACATATAAAACTTGCATACAGAAACAGATCCGGGACCTTGCAATCAGGGTTGCAGCGGTGGCTGTACTCCCTGCTCCCACCCTTCCTCCCATCTTCTTCCCTCCCTCTCCTCCCCCACCTGCCACTGCTGCTGTCCCAGGGGCAAGGGGATCTCCAGAGCCACTTCTGCCCAATTCAGGCCAGGCTCTGCGGAGGCCAGACTCAGCCTGGAACAACAGCAGCAGTGGGCAGGTTCCCCCTCCCCATGCTTGTTCCTGGGCTGGTGGGGGGCACCCAGGGGGACCAGGGAGAGAGGGGAAACCCACTTGCCACTGCTGCTATCCTGGGCTGAACCCATGCAGCCCACCTGGAGTGGACAAGAGCCTCTGTGGAGCTCCCCGCAACAGCATGTCAGTGGGGACAGAGGTGGGCAGAGGGGGGAGGGAGTGGGGAGGAAGCATGTCTCTGAGTGCGGAGGGGAAGAGAGGGAGGAGGTCTTCCTACCTGCTTGGGGACTTTAAATAAAAGTGCCAACTGTTGCTCCTGCTGCATGGTCAGAAATGGGGTGCCCCTGTGCCACTGCATCCTCTCTGGATCCGCCCCTGCTAGTATACCAGTGTAAACAAGGGATGGTTGCAATAGCCCTTTACTATTGCAGCTTACTAGAATCTGAGGAAAATCTGTCCTAAAACTGCACTGGGGCATTTAACACCAATATGATGTTTATGCCTGCTCTTACTCTTTTTGGTGCAGACAAGTTAATTAGTGGCTCATTTATCACCTGTTGGTGAGGTGTTATAATAGTCTGGCCTTTGGATTCTGTCTCATTGGTCTGAAGCAGTAGGTCTTGGACAGCCTCCACTCCTCCTTACTCTTGCCTAGGCGTACGCTTCGGACATCTTGGTGTTATGGTTGTAGACCTCTTATGTGTGCACCATGATCCAGAGGATCGACGGTTGCCTACACATAATAGTGCCTAATGCATCAACAACCACAGAAGAGATAACTCTCTGACCACTCCAGATATCAACATAACTTAGTGAGGTATCAAAGCTTTGCAAATTATATTAATCTTAATGTTGTTTTGTCTTCAGGGCCTCAGATATATTGAGGAATCTTAAAGTATGCTTTGTGTCCTTAGAAATGCTTGGGAATGTAACTAACTTTCTGCCTTTCTGCATTTCAGGTGCAAATAAAGTATGGATTCATAATAAGTTACAGTTGAAAGATCTGGGTGTTTCAAAATATTGTTTAAACTGTCCAAATAGCTCCTATCTTGCAGGGTATGGACACATGTATTTGGAGCCATTTCAAAGGGGCAGCAGCTGTTATGTTCTAATCATTATTTGTATGCAGACAAGACGAGAAGGGTGCAAATGGAGCAAAAACTACTTCCATTTTAACATTGGATGAAACTAGCTCACGTGTGTGTACCTGCAGTCATGAACAATGCTTCCAGAGATGCTGGAAATATTTGTTAGTCTAGGTTTCTTGTTTTCTGCAGTCTCATTAGCTGATAGCTGGAAGCTGTGCTTTCGTAAGTCTTCATAAACTAAGGAAGACATCATCTGTGTGGGACGTGCACCAACTAATATAAGAAAACAGGGAAGACATCACATTTACCTTTTATGTATCAAGATTTAGATACTGATTTCTGCCCTTTGGAACTTCTTCCTAGATTTCTCTTTACATGTCTTCATGCACTTTTTAATTTACATACCTTTTATAAACTGGAGGATTCATCAGGTATCTGTTTCCCTGAGGGTGCTGGATTCAGAGGAATTTGTACATCTATCAGGATTAGAGTGATGAAAGTAGGACAGGGTAGCATCTTAAAGACTAACTTGTTCAGAAAGGCATACACTTTTGTAGGTGGCAGCCTATTTTATCAGATGCTAACTCTGAATGAGTTAGTATCCAGGGTGGCACGCTGCCCTGGCTTCTGTCTGATTGTTAGCATAGGAGACCATATCAGTTTTTGCTCCAATCTGATTTGTTGTTTTAACTTAAAAAAAAAAAAAAAAAGAAAAGAGCATTTTTTCAAGGGTACTTCAAAATTATGACTGCTAATTTATATAAAATGGTTACAACATTCAACTTTCACTCACGCCACTGAAGTGAATAGAAGTGCTTAGAAGACTGCTCATCAACATGAATGAGGGTTACACAACCAGGGCCTAAGCAATGAAAATAATTATTGTTAGGATATTCACCAGGCTCTTCTCTTCTTTGTGAATATGGCAGTTATGGATGGATGGAAGAGGCACACATGCACGCATACAGGATCTGTTCTTGGAAATGTGATCTGTTTGGTCCTTAGACATGTTGAAGCACAAGTTCTCTTATCTTCAGCCTAGCAGAGTCAAAATATGAGCCACACTTTTCAAGTATTTCTGAAATGCGTTTATATTTTTATACATGATGATGCATTTATTACTTGTGTTGATAAGTACTGTTTATAAAAGTGGCATTAAGATTAATTCATGAAGACCACAACAACAATGGAGACCTTTAGAAATGGTGACAGATGCTATTAAAATATAATTTATTTTAAAATACCCCCTAACAAATCAATTGTGTGACATTAAAAATGCATGAAGGACAGTCTCCTGTTTAGGCGTTTGCATTTTCTATGGTAAGTAACTTCTCCTCCTTTTTTTTTTCTTCTAAACTTTTCAGGTAAAAGTACTCCTGTAAGCCAGCTTGGGTCTGCAGATTTTACCAAGCCCCATGATCCATTCCAGCCATTTGGGGCTGACAGCAGTGACCCGTTTCAAAGTAAAAAGGGGTTTGGGGACCCATTTAGTGGAAAAGATCCATTTGCTCCCTCCTCTTCAAGTAAAACTTCTAAAGACTCTTCCTTGGGGTTTGCAGACTTCAGCTCTGTAAGTTAAGTTCATTGTCTCTGAGCAAACCACTTTCTGCTCTGCTTGCAGCAATCTCTTGGGTTTTTTGTTTTAACTGCAAACCTACTGTCCACTGGCTTCTGCCTCTTAGTCCCTTCATGCTGTCCCCACTGTTGCTCTGTATTAATCTTTCTGTATAAAAAGGCATTATCTCTCAATAAAACAGGAGTTTTGAGTTTGATACTAAACTTTAAAGGATTTATTTGTTTTTGAACTACCTAGTACAGTGTGCCTTTTTCTCAAATTCTTTGTAGAAGAGTCTTTGTACTGTTTTTGTTGCATGGAGGCTGTCTTGTAATTGATTTATGGGCACCAATGATGTTAAGACAAATCTTCAGAAGCAATTGTGGAAGGTATTTGTACAGCGGTTTCACCATATCCTGAAAGTATATGCTTAAAGGATTCCATAAAGTGTATGTACCTGTTTGAAAAAGTTCTGACAATCTCGTCGCAGTGTTTTCTGTACACAATGGAATGCAAAGTGTCCATATATGAGAGAGAGATTGAAAGCTAGCTATTGATTTTGTAGAGAATCCCTTGTTAAACAAAGCAAACGCAAGCTTGTTTTGTAGAACCAGTGTAGTAATGTCCATATGGCATCCTATAATACAAAATCAAAAGGTCTTACAGCAAAGCCAAGTGCCTTTCAAGGAAGAAAAAGCAGGATTTAAAGAAGTTTGGCTTTGTTTTCTGGTTTTGGAAGACACATGGATTTGAACTTGTAAATGTAGCAGTAGCTTGACTGTTCTTAATGCTACCATTGGTAAATAGGAAATCGGTCCCATCCACAGCCTCAGGCTTCTTCCTTTCATGTGTTTTTGTTCTACATTTCACTGTCATGCAATAAAATCCGCTCTATCTACATTCATAAATCTGGCAGACATAGTTCACTGCTCAGTAGGTTTGGGTGTTCTCAAGTTTTATTTTTTTCAAGTCTTATTATTTTTGAAAGTTTTCCCTACTATATCAGTTTACAGTAAATATGTATCATTCCCCTACCTGATACATGGTTAATTGAGGTCCTCTATGAATATCTTGAAATGCCCTCAATACTTCATCTGTGATACTGAAAAGGTCAGATCTCAAAGTAGGATGTAAGCTTTTACATAATTAGTAAAATTCTGTTGAAAGTCACTGCACAGTTAAAGTCTGTGAATGTATACAAAATGGTAACAATTTATTAATAAAAATAAGACAAAAATCTTGTTTTATTTGAAATTTTATTGAATGGCACCTAGTTTCTTTTATTCTTTATGGGGGAAGGATGCAATGACTATGCATAAAATGGAATGACTGTTATCCAGCTGTTATCTTATTTACAGACTACATTTCTTAGCTGGCTGCTGAATAATCTGTAAGTGATATACTGAATGGTTAATGTATATAATTTCTTCTACTGAAGTTTTTCTGTTAAACCCCTGTGCCATTAAGTTTTTAGGACATAAACATAAATTTTTAAAAGTAAAAACTAAGGAAAAAATGAGATCTGATTAACAATTTACCACTTGGCTAATTAATATTTTGGTAGCATTTAGGTTGGAAAAAATGTAGTTAAAAGTTGTTTCATGAAATTTGTTCATTAAAGTCCCCTTTAGAAGTAGAGAGTTTTGCTTATTTCCCTGTTCTGTTTAAGTATTACTTACTCTCTGATTATGAACAACACATGATCATATTGTCACATTTTATTAATGCTAGACCTGCAAGAAGTCATTGGTAATCCATTTAGCTCCTAAATCAAGAAAGGGGCTTCATACGTTTACAGTTTGGGTGATCTTGTTTGGAATTTAAATACAGTATTAAGAACAATTCTCTTGGCAATGTGTTTTCTGCCCTGAAGTGTGGTTCTGTAGAATTTGAGACTGCCAAATTGATTAGCTGTCACAAGCAAAGAAAGCTGAGGACTTCTGTAAGTTTCTGAACAGTTTAGTGTTGGTTGAATTATTCATACACATAATATTTAAGTCGTATGGCATTATTTTGGTCTAAAACATGAGCCTTGGGAACTGAAAAAATACATTCTTAGTTTATATTTCAGGTATTTTTGATTTACAACTTCACCTTTCAGGAAAAAGAAAAAAGGCAACATCTCAATAATCTTCAGTCACAGAGAATAGTAACTTTAAAGGAACTAAGAATTCAGAGCTAAGCTCAAAGATTTCTCTTTTATATAAGTTAGTAGCAAAGTGACCACAGTTCAGTGCACTTGGAACTTTGTCATATATTTTACTATTTTATCTGCAGGCTTTAGGGGTTGTCCCCAACAAACTTATCAGTAATTATCTTAGTGGTATTTTTAGATCCTTTGTACTAAACTGCAGTGGTAACTGCAACCTATCTATGCTAATGTATTAACATTTGTATGAATTTTCTATTTGCTTTATCTTTTCCTGAAGACAGGAGAATGATGCTGTACTGAGTTTTCTGTAGCTCAATAAAATGGCCTTTTCTAGACAATTTGCACAAGGACTGATGACAATATATAATTGGTAAATTATATATTCAACTGGTACACACGTCAAGAATCATGCTTCTGGAGTGATATATTCCTGCTTGTATTATAATATAAGATAATATTGATCAAACACCAAAAGAGGGGTTTTCTGATAGAAAACTTTACTGTGAACTGCCTTCATACACTCTCAGTTGGCTTTTTTAACTGCACAATATAATTTCAGATACATAAGGAATAAATAAGCTTCTTGAAGAAAGTTTTTTTTAAATGTGCATCTTTTACAAACTAAAGAAAATATTAATAAACCTATTTTATCAACAGTTTAAAAAGTATAAGACACACTAAAAGTAATTAGTTGAAATTTGTTACGTCTCTAAAATTTACAACAAGGATTATTTCACTCCACATCCCAGCACCAGGCTTTATTTTGAATGGTTAGAGATTGAAACCCTGTCTCCACTGGGTGTGTCCAGACAAGTGCATATATGCGGCTTGCAGTGCTGCAGACCCGTCTGTGGTGCCTCAAACTGTGTGCACTGCACATGCAAGTAATCGCCGCACTGCTGATTAGCAGCATGGCAGGTTTTTTTGACACCAGGAGATCCCGGTGTCAAAAAATGTGGCGCAGCATGTGTGGTGGCAGCACATGCCGCCCGAAACTGAAGCCTGGCTGGCCAGAGCCACACTCCAGCTGCTGACCAGGCTCTGCCCACCCAGGTCACTGCTGCTTGAGCCCCGGGAGGCCCCCAGGACTCCGGGTAAGGCTGCTAGGGCCAGCCCAGGTGCTGGCCCTAGCCTCCCCTACCCCACCTGGGGCAATTTGTGTGCCAGAATGCATGTGCGAGGGTGTTCCGTGGGGACAAGTAGCAATGGCACAACTATGTGCTGCTGCTCCTTGTCCCCAGGGAAACTCGCATGATATATATCAAGTATTAATTTAAATAATTTGCAGTAGGAATGGCAGCAGAATTTCTTGGTTTAAAAAGCTACTAGGATGCAGTACACTGTCATGAAAGAAACAGTTGCAGTAATAGCTTTTTAGCAGTGACAGCATGCAGTATATAAAAGAAGGAAAGAACCCACTCTGAAATGCAGCTAGGAATCATAGAGAATTTGGCATATTTATCAAAAGTACTTAGCCAAAAATGCAAGTTGATAACATTTATTTAAAATATAAATATATGAATTCAGGGAAATCTTGAATGTGATAGTAAACTATATAGCTGCAGTATTACTTAAATTTAATAATTTTTTTTTTCTGAAGCAGTCTATTTAGACGAGAGACAAAGTTTGTAAGGGATGGTTCCAAGAAATAAATCAGTTCAGCAGTATATTATACCTTATTCTCTTGTCATGAACTGGAGAGGTGATATTCATAGCTTTATGCAGATTTTATTCCACCAAAAATAGAATGTGTCATTTTTTATATAGTCTTCCATTCTAAAAGCCCAAATAATACATTTTCTAAAGATTCCATAAACTATCAAATTGATGTTTAGAGTGGAAATGAAGCAGTTAGGGATAAATCTTGCAAATGCTTACATATCATTCTGCAACTTCTTTTGTTAGCTGAACAGGGGGCCTTCAAGATTAAATAGCAAAACAAATTATTGATTTATCTAAAGTTAAATTTAAAATGCTATTTTAATTGCCAGTAATTTCTCTAACTTTTTGTGCAAAAAATAAAGCAATCAGATTTTGCCCATTTTAAAGTGAAACTATAAGTCAAAGGCTGATTATTATGGTATAACTTTGAACTTTGTTTCCATTAACTTAAATGCATTTTGGTATCCTACTCAAACTTCTTCATGTTTATCAGAGAATTAATTTATTTCTTTAGTATTGCAAAAGTGATCTGAATAGGTTTTTGCTATTCTGCTGCTTGAAAAAAAATCTTCACTTATTTATGAGACAATTGCAAAATCGGCATTTTACTTTCAATGTGATGGTGTAACTTTCTGCAAATCTTCAGTCTCCGGGTTCATTGTTAGCATGTGTCACCATTTAGAGGAACTATTGCAGAAGACACTTTGCAGTGTAGTGGCACATCAGCAAACTGCTTCCATTTTTTACCAGCTAAAAGCTAACAGAATCATTGTTCACATGGCTGTAGGCCCTCAACTTCCAGGTATACTTTTTCATGTACATGAAGCTCTCCATCCACACAATCTTTTGGCCTCTCTCTTTTGTATAATTGAGATCGGATGCAGGCAGATCATCATCAACTGGAAGGTTTATATTTCTGATAGGTGAGGGTGCTGAATGAACTAAGTAAACGAATCACAGAATGGAGTGGGGAAACTAGTGGGTGTTTGACTGTATGTGGGCGTATATTTCCCAATCCAGAAGTTGTAACCTATTTTGTCTTGTTTGGTGGTGGTTATTTTAAATTAATTAGATTTACAGCATGTTGTGTATAACTTCTGCTGGTTGTGGGCGAATGTCTTGTATATATTAACCATGTTTCCATTTTTTTTATTTTTATTTTTTAGTTTGGAAATGAGGAGCAACAGCTGGCATGGGCAAAGCGAGAGAGTGAGAAGGCGGAGCAGGAGAGGCTAGCTCGATTACGAAGACAAGAACAGGAAGATCTTGAATTGGCTATTGCACTTAGTAAGGCTGATATGCCAAACTCTTAAATGCAGGTCTCTGGTTTCATCTAGACCAAGTGAAATCCTTTAAAAGTTTTGGGTTGGCGTTTTTTGTTTTTTTTGTTTTTTTGGGTTTTTTTTGGGGGGGGGGGGGCGGGGGGGTTGGTTTGGTTTTTTTTTTGGTTTTTGGGTTTTGGGTTTTTTTTATAAAAATACTAAATTCTTGTTTTACATTGTGAAGTAATTCTAGTCACCTTAAAGTCACAGCATAACAAGACATTGGTTTTAGCAGACTGGGCTCCGTGTGGCTTTTCAAGTACATAATGCACAGAAAATGCACTGTATAAAATTGTATTATACTTTCTAGATAAAAGTTACTGCTTGTAAGAAAATTTACATATGATCCTACGGTACTGAAAGCAAAGTTTCTTTATAATGCAGCCAATATGGCACACAGTAAACTGCAATTTATGAATCTGGCTTTTATTACCTGAATTCCATTGCCATAGTTTGAGGCTGCAGTAGGAAGATTTATAGAAAACAAGTCATAGAGTATGTTTAAAGAAGTGCACATACTTACTTTCAGTTATCTTTCTTACATTTAATTATTCATTGTAGGCCAATGAGTATAAAAGCCATCTAGCTCAAAGTCTTGAGAGCAAATTCTTTAAGATCTTTCCATTTTACCAATGAGATATGCTATATCTTATGAGAAAAAAACGGATTCTTTATATATTAGATCCATAAAACAAAATTGACTTAGATTAAGTCCCACAAAATATTCCGAATTCAAAGCCTATGAGAGTGAATATTTGTTCTTACTTGATTATTTGCACTGAGTTTTAGTTTTTGTAGTTGGCAGTATAAAAGAGGGGAGAGATCCTGATATGGTAAATTGGACAAATGATGATTCAAGTATAAACCATAGGATAAAATACACCTTTACTCATTGGGAAGGATGACTACAGGAACAGTAGTATTTTGGAATTCTTTTTACATTAGATTGGGTAATTTTAATACTTTTAAATCTGATTTTGAACTGTAATCTTTCACGTAACTTTAATTTACCTTCATTTGCTCCAACAGGCAGCATGGAAAACTATTATTTGTATTATCCAATTGACTATGTTACAGTCTCTACCTCAGAAGTGCTTCATTGTGTAGCTGTATTTTTAAATAGTATCATTCTTGAATCCCTTTACCTAGATATGCAACTACTGTATAGAAACTCCTTTAGTTTAAATTGGGCCAAGTTTAGTCAGATTGTATTTGCCAGATGAAATTATTAGCTATTGGTGCAAAAGTTACAAAATACTAATACATTGGATTGGCCTCAAAAGACAGGCTATTCCACTGATAGTGCTAATTAAGCCACTATGTCTAGCCTTTATATTGACCTATAAAATTCAGTGGGCAGGACACATGCAGAATGTAGAAGTAATGCAGTGTGTGGTTTGTGTTACAGGTACATAAAATGAGTCCTACTGTTGTTCTTCTCTTTAGTTATAGGAACTGCTTTTCACGATTACGACAGAAATCTTAATGTTTTGGTTGCCCTTGCCTTGTAATATGGTTTTATTTGTAAATGTAATGGTTATCTAAGGCCAGTTTTTCAAAATGTCCTTAAGTTGTATATCTATTTGCACCCCCAGTTCTGTACATTATACAACTTGGGTAGGTAACAACATTGTGAATCTCTGAAAGTCTGGGTACACATTCTGTTTGCTAGAGAATGTGGCATTTCTTCATCTTCTGTAATGTGTTTACATTTTTGTGTGTCTGCTTCATGATTTTATTTTTCCTTTTACAGTGATGTTAGTGCCTATTTATCCCATCAAAATAATCCTCCCCTTTCTAATTGCCTTACTCTGGATGTTTTCTTTATACAGAGATGAGAATCAAAATAATTATTTTTTTCTGATGAGCAGCCTTCAGCCCTGGAGATGTAATGAAATGTTAGTTGTCTCAGGATGATATTGCATTTGTGTTGCAAATAGATTGTAAATTGAGATACATTAATATTTTGGTCTTCGGACAGTAAATTTGACAACATTGAAGTCCATTTCAGGGAGGTGCTGTTCTGAATGTGAGTGTAACTCCTCTTAATATTAGTACACATGCTGTTGGGCTTTACATGTAACTGTCTTCAGTTTTGTATTTGATATAATGAGCTGCCCTGAATACAACAGGAGATAATTCTACCATACATGGAGAATCTGACTTAAGTCCCTTCCAACCAAAACCATTTTCCTGTAAAATATACTATAAGATACTAAGTTATCAAGTATACTTTTTAAAGATTTGTAATATTGTTCTTTCCATTCAGTCACAGCACTTAAAACTGACAAGAGCAAATTGGGCCTGCTTGTAGCAGAAGTAATACCTTTTTTTTTTTTTTTTACAAAGAAAGGGGGATCAATGTAGAACACACAGTAAACATCAGTCCCGCTATATAGTGATTTAATTTTTTCTTAAAGTTTTTAAATATACTATGTTCCTTTTCTCAGCCCATCTTATAGTCGCACCTCTTTCACTTTGCTTAGCAAAGATAGTTGCCCCGTGTCTCTGAACGAACTGTTCTTGCAGTTTTGTTGTTGTATTCAGTGTTGTTATTTAGTCTTCCCTTGCATTTTTCTGTCCTGCGTACATATGATTGTTCATTTGACTTGGTGTTTTTTACACATCTCACACCCTAAATAGATGGGGGAACATGTGATTAGAATGCAGGATACTCAGTGGAATTATGTGTGTATACAGAACATAGATTTTTTTTCATTTTCATTAGCTATTTCTACCTTAACAGGGTTTTTCCATTCCTCATGTAGCTGAAAAATGTAATGCTGCTTCAAAGGAACTGCAGTGAGTCTCCTTTGAAAGCACTGGGTAAATACAAAGAGAAGAACATTGCTTGGGATTTACAGCTGCATTACAACACTGTTGTTCTTCCCCCTTCTCCCTTTACAGTTAACAGACTTTTATTATGGATGCTGTTGTCTGTAGTAATTCCCTCTTTCATCTCTCCTCCAATATATTGTCAGCCACGCTTGCCTCTGACTGCAGGGTCAAACCACCTGTTTCAAGTTGACAGTGCTTCTTCATTATCCATCCTTAGAAGGTGAATTCTTCTCCCCTGCCATCCAGGGAATAAAAGCATCACTTCTGGAGTACAACAGGCCGGAGGAGTGAAAGTCACAGGATTTGCATTAAAGCCTGAGTCTTTTTGTGGAAAAAGGGAATGGGGGGGTGGGGGTGGGGGGTGAAATGACACTTTCCTCTTCTGCTCAAATCTAAACCTTACCTGCAAAGCCAGTTTATAAAGGATTGCTATTTCTGGATCACTTTTCAGACAATATCACATATGAGACGTGTGAGCTAAACAGCATGACATTTTCTAAGTTACCATGTCTCTGAAATCTTTTATAGCTTTATTATTTCTGAGATAATGGGATAATGTTTTTCAAGACAGTCATTATGATGTTAAAAGAGTGACTTGATCTAATATACTAAATATAAACTTTGATCTTCCCTTCTCAGGTAGAGATTTGGTCAGCCAAATACTAGTAAGAATGATCCAGTAACAAATGATCAGTCAAATTAATGGAACAGGAATATGTAAATGATCCATGTACAATCTCAGATGTGCATTAGCTCTCGGCTTATCTGAGATGGCTTTTATTCAGGAAGACAGGAGGAAGATTTTATAAGATTGAAGTCAAGGAAACTCTCTTGAGATCTCTGTGTAATACCATCTAAAATGATTTTCCCTTGTAGAAAGCAAAAATGTTACCTTCATTCCTGACTACCCTTGTTATCCATTGATTTAAGTTACTATACTTGTTCTCCTAAGGCAAAAAAAAACAAACCAACAAAAAACATTGGAAGACATTGATCTTTCTTTTATTCTCCAGAATGCAGAAATTCATACCACAAAATAGACTTACTTCAGTTTGGGCAAATCAGTATACAAAATATATAGTGTATGTATACATTGTAAGATGTACCATTTATGTATATATACAGTACAATACATTACATAATTATAGTGTGTGTGTGTATATACTAAACATATGTCTATATATTGCAGCAGTTATATGCTCTGTATATAAAGTGCGCGTATGTGTACGTTCACACACGCAATGAATATGTAGTATATAATTATATGTATAGTCTGTATTTAAGAAGTGTATGTTTATGTCCATTTTTCTTTATGTACATGGAAATTGTGCTACTGTGGTTAGAATTTTCAAATTCTGGTGAACTTAAAAAAATGTTACAATTTCCAATAATTCTTTATTAGTTTGAAAAAATGTGTGTGAAGTTGCCCAGATGGACAAGAAACTTGGCTGGTATCTCAGATATATATAATCAATTTAGGATAGAAATTTACATTGTCTTTGTGGTCCTGTAGTGTCTACTTGCACTTAATGGCCATTTCTGATCTAATATAATATACTTGCTTAGTGCTGTCATCTCTCTCCTTTTTTGGGGGAGATTAAGCAAGGGTTTTTACTAGCTTTCAATTAAAACGTTATTTGCTTTTATGGGCATTGAGGAAGACTTCTTTTTATAGTCTCTCATCTCCCACATGCGTTGCACAGTCATTCTTTTGTGGGCTTGAACTGTGCTTTTTCTCTATTTCCATCTAAGTTTTTGCCTTAAGAGAAGTTACTGTCCAACGTTGCTGCTTTTGAAAATAAAAATGTAGATGTTTCTTTCTACTTGGAAAAACTATTAGACTATGCAGTACACTAAATAACCGCAGAGAAGTTTGCTAGACTTCTGTACTAGCATATGTATGTTGTAATATATTCACCTGCACATTTGAAGTACAGTCAGAGCTGAGTGACTTGGCAACCGTTAAATAACAGAGCAACGCTATACAGCATATAAATACAGCACCTTAAAACAGAAAAGACTACTTATTCCAATTAAACTGGACTTCTACAAGTTCTGCGCTCATCAGACACAGATACTGAATTACCTGTATATTCCTCTCTAGATCAGTGTATACATATTTCCCAAATGAGTTTCTTGATTTTTTTTCTTTTTTTTTAAGTTCAAAATGTTTTTGTTGTTGTTGTCGAGACTGCCAGTCATTCTACCAACTGGAACAGACACTGGCAAGGGAAGTCTTGGCACTTCCACACTTGCTGTATGAGACTCTTTATATCAAAGTTCTTCTTATGAGGTTTCTGGTTTAATTATTTTTACGTGGGGTAAGTCCTCAGCCCCTACTGTGTTTTGTTTTATTTAGCAAATTCCAAGGATAATCTATGATAGTACAACACTTAGTCAAAATGATTTTGTCATCTCTCTGGCTTTGCTAAAAGGCAGTGTACTTTCCTATGATTATTCTTGTAATCCTTTTGGATCTACTTTCTTTTTTTTTCCTTGAATAATTTTCCATTAAGAAAAAATTGACCTGTGGACTCTAATCTTACGGAATTTCAGTCCAAATGTTCAGAACCAACACCTCACCCATCTAGGAGGTTCGTTCCATTTTTTCCACTTAACTTATTCCTGCCTCTTAGAAACAACATTTCTATATAATCTCAATGTTGCAGAATAAATTATATCAAAATGATAACTATTTGTTTTGTTCTGCAGTAATAAACTCACTAGTTACAAGCAAGCTATTTCTGGGCCAATACAGTCAATAGTTACATATTCATTGCATCCTTTTCTGCTAATTTCCTATTCACAACAAACATATTTACCTTTTTTTGAGTAAGGAAATACTGGTGAAAATTCTGGCTTGAACATGTTGGAATCTTAAGGTTTTGTTTTAGGATTGAACCAGTTAACTCTTTTCATATTCGTAGATAAATCTGTTTTATCAGTTAGGATATTGGTTTTAGCGGTGTTGGTCTAAAAGCATAGGGAGACAAAACTCTTGGGGTAGAGGCAATATCTTTTATTAGATCAACTAAATAATAGCAAAAAAATTCTTTCTTTGCAAGCTTTTGGGCCTAAGCACCCTTCCTCAGGCACAGGAGAATTCAAAGATTGTAAAAGTTCTCCCAGATAGAAATGCCTGCTACTTTACACATTCACAGAGCAACGTCTTTTAAAATGGACTGTTATACCCAGGGGCACCCTACCATCTTGTACCTCCCCTGTGCAAGATGAAGTTTCATTTTTACCTGGGAGAACTTTTACAATCTTTGAATTCTCCTGTGCCTGAGGAAGGGTGTTTGGGCCCAAAACCTTGCAAAGAGATAATTTTTTTTGCTACTGTTTAGTCAGTCTAATAAAAGGTATTGCGCCTCTACCCCAAGAGTTTTGTCGGCCTTTTATCAGTTAAGATACTGTTCTTTTTAGTTAAAAGATTTATAAATAAAAGACCAAGTTGTCAATGCCTCAGTTTAAAAATTTAAATAATGTAATGTATACAGTTCCCTCCACTGATAGAATCCTGATTATGCTGTGTTCCTTTAATGATCCACTTAATATGATTCTGATCATTCTGATGGAATTTACAGCTTAAAACCATGAAAGCAAAGTGGAAGTTGCAGCGTTTACCTAAAAGTCACTAATCTGTCCAAATATGTACATGATTATAGTTATATTTATCCTTTAAATATAACACATTGAAAAAATATTTTAATTTTAACCCAATACGTGTTTAATATAATAAGAGAAATGTTATTGTTTAATATAATAAATGGAAAAGATTACTTTTTGGAGCTCTGGGACTAGCATTTTTTATTTTATTTTATTTATTTTTTTGTCTCTGATTTCACAAACTTTGCTTTGGGTCAAAATTTTGAATCCTGTTTAGAATGATGTATTTCTGCTGTATATTTTTTTGGGCTGTTGGCCTGTTCATACTGTTCTTCCCTCTCAGTCTCCCATTACTGCAAAACACACTTGACTTGCTCTTTCCTTTGAAGATCCCATACCACACCCTTTACAGAAACAGTCTGTACGCCAAAATGTTAAATATGTAGGGAATTAACATAGGGAGGAGTTAAAGAGAATAACTCTTTGGCCAAATGGAAATACTGAACTGCAAGAAGATTCTACTTCATTCATTTTGATTTGACTCATTTCTGCCATAGACGTGATTAGGTATAGTGGTATATTAACAACAGATAATTGCAACGGGCTGCATCTGCTCTTTTTAAAATTATTCTCCAGACACACTTTCAGTTTGGGTTTTTGGGAGAGAAGGGGAAGGATTTTGTCTTACTTAATTTAAGATAAAACTTTCAGGGGAAAGTGGACAAGTAGCATCCTGAGTTTAACTGGGCACATCTACACTTGCACTTTAGTGCGCATTAAAGCATTACAAAAAACCATGCTCTTTAGCTAATGTGCATTAAAGTAGGCTAACGGGCCTTTTTCTAGTACCTCACCACGGAGGTACTACATTTAATGCATGTTATCCTAAAGCGCATTGAGTGTGTAGATGTGCCCAGCCGAATATCTAGCTCCTAATCGCAACATATAACCATGATGAATTAGGGAAGATCATGCAACTCTATGAAATTCCCATGCCTAGCTGGTGTCCAATATTGTTGATGGTGCCAGACCCCACCATGGCCTAGTTTATACTATGGACATTTGGCAGCAGAAATAAACTCTGGTTCTGCTGACAAAACAGTGTCCACACACCCAAAGAGCTTCTGTGGCAGCAGAACCCCGCTTTCTGGCAGCAAAGGACCCCATCCCTGAGCGAGCTGTACATACAAGTACGCCAGGACTTCTGCTGGCTGACCCACCCCCTGCCCAGTAGCTGGCACCTTTGCAGGATGTGCTTGCACAGCTGCTGAGGGCTTGCACCTGCTCTGGCAGCCTGTCCTGCAGTTGAGTGGGTGGCAGGGACAGGGGAGTGGGTGCTCACAGGCAAGGCCTAAGCCTTATTCCTCCCTCCAGATGCGGAAATAATAGTGCAGTTGCAATGCACAGGTGTCAAAAAATCCTCTTATGGGGAGTACATGAGAAAAGTCACTCAGCATCCTGCCCAGTAGACACAGTTTTGATCTTAATCACTTAAAAACAAAATGTTTGCAACTTCTTCCTTTGTGCTAGGCATCGTCTTTGTGGCACCTAATATGGGACATAAACTGATTGATGTTTGAATCAGAAGAAAACACGTATTTGTTGAAGTTATAACATGGTTTATGGAGGCTTCAGCCTTTCCTACCTGTGTTTCTGCACCTCCCTTTGCTATCAGCAACACTGCTTTTGGTCTCTAGGTTTCCACTAATGTTACTTTCAAGTACGGACCAACCGAAGGAGGTTTATTGAGGCCTCTTAAAAGGAACCGTTGTAGGAAGAGCACTGTACCAAGTTCATTGTGCTCAGGAATTCAGAGTGCCAGTGTTTCTAAGAATGCCTTATCTGCTTTCTTCAAGCAAGATAAACAGCCCACAAAAACACGCTGTTGTCCTGCGAGAGCAGTTCTGCGCTTGTAGCCTGGATCCCCTGGTTTAGAAACGTGAGGCGCACGCGCAGCCGCCTGGCAGGAGAGCAAGCAGCGTCTGCGGGGCGAAGCACGTGCTTGGGCGGCGCTGGGACGGCCTGGGCGAAGCTCGCCCGTTTGCGTGCCGGGGCTGCCCCTCTGGCCCGGCCCGGCCCTTGCGGAGCCGCC